CATTGTAACTTCGAAAGGATAAAAAAACTGTGACATCCCTGCCTACATGCTTACTTCGCCTCTGCTTCAGAAGCAGAAGGAGGGAGAAGCTAGTCAAAGAGTTAGGGGGTAGGTACTTGGACTACTTCAGGACCTGGAGCCCCCGCCCAACTAAGCTCACCTGCTCTATGTATGTAGGAGCTGTGGGATTATTGGATAGTCTCAGAGGCCTGCCAGATACGTTCGTGCTATGATCAACATTTTTTATCTAATTAAATAGAATGACTGGAAGTAATACTCGCTCTGTTCGGTTCCTATGAATACCCACACTATTACCCCCACTTCCTGGCATTTTACTGTAAACTACCTAGCATTCTTCTGAAGGCCCGGTAGAAACGAGCACCTCCATCACGTCCTGCTTATTCCATATACATAATAGAGGCGCAAATAGGATTGCGGCGGAAAAAAATAATCGGCATATGCGGAAACGGCTTCACCACTTGAAAAGACGGCTCAGAATCGTTTCTGAGACAACAGGATGCCACTGATTTCAATAAAAAGATTGTTCGACTTCAATCCGTTAGGCAAGTCGTCAAGTTAGAAAGGGATACCCAATAATTAATCCCAATGGGCGCGTTCCGCTACAAAATTACATCTGTCTATGAAAAGAATGCACAAAAATATCCGATAACAAGTCATTACCCTTAGGAGGAAGACTTGGACGCCCCGCGGAATCGCCCAGGAATGCCCTCAGCACCGTAGTAAGGCCTGAACTTTAGCTTGCTTATTTGTTCTTACGAAATTGCTGTACATGGTCGATAATGTGTTGAGTCTACCCGTCTGTGTTTTTCATGAAATACTCAACAGAAATGAATTATCGTGAACGGCTGGCTTTGAAGTGAAAACAACTACGGCAAGCTTCAATCAAGGCTCTACTATACACCTCGGCTAGAGTCCCATTTAACAGGGCATGAGTGGCATTCATTCTGTGTCACCAGGAAAGCTCAAAAATCGAAAATCCGAAGAAAGGGTGGAAGACACTGGAAAGCTGCCCAAAGAAGCCCGTTTCCTTAAATCCTGGTATGAAAACTAGCAGTATAACAGAGTTTTTTCCTTTTTAGAACGGCCTCTTCTTCGGATACACAGTATTAAATTTCGAGAGCAGGTACTTG